ACTCGACCATGGACAACACAGTTTGCATTGGTAAGTCTACGTAGCCTCGTCTTTTACATGTTTACATTTCTTCTTGTTGTTTGGAACAACATTTTGCATACCATGTACTTTCTGTTGTTGGTTGAATTTTGCTATAGATTTCAAAAAAAGTGAAAAAAAAATCCAACCTGGATCGAACATAAATCATTTTCCAGAACCTTGGCATTCCGCACCTTCAAGAAACTAATGAAAGCAAAACATTTCCCCATCTTGGAAAGCTTAAATGTTATATAGACATCAACAACTCTACTGTACTTCTCACAAAGATTCCACAACCCCTTAACATCCATTTCAATTATGAAGTTCATCATATAGAATGTGACATCAAGATTCACTAAATTCGGAAAAGGTCGAAAACGGAGAGCGGTGAAGAATAAGAGTTGCAAGGTGTTCGTAATTGGTAGATCAACCATTAATCACATAAATTACCAAATGCTTGCCTTGTACCTTGGATGAAGCATCAAGATTTTCCAATAGATCGGAGATGTGTTGAATTTTGTAACAATAAACTGTCATGGATATGTCATCCATTGAGATATTGCGAAGTTCGGTATCGAGTTGCATCAATCTTGCTTTCTTATTGTCACGAAAAAGCTTCTCCACGTGTAGCTATACATTACGAGCATAAGAATATTCCTTGAGAACCATTTGTAGAAGAGAATGAAAGACGGTGGAGAAGACCCACATCTTTACTTTGGCGTCGACCTTTTTCCATTCATCAGCAGCTTTTGTAGTTGGTGCGTTGTAAGTGGCACTGACATGGTCAATAGCATCGCATGGTTGACAGTGGGTTAGGAAGAGAGCCCTCCAATAGTCTTAACTGAGCCGTTCTATGTAAGCACTAATGGAATATGTGACTTGATGTTAACGAAGGTGAAGGCTTTAGGAGGAAAAAGTGGATGAATGTCGCCTATGATGATGTTTCATGGAGAACATGGGTGGTGATAGTAGGGTTTCGATGAGACACAATAAGAGTCTCCGGTAGTGTTTATGGAAAGGGTTGAGAATACGAGGGAAAGTATGATAATTAGGCTGATACCATATTGAGAGATCTAGGAAATTATTCTCGTTGTCGTTCAAAAGATGGAATACAAACAATATATAAACACGATATATGAGCCTATACACTACAAAATACATGGCCTATACAATATACAATACATGGTCTAAGTTATATACACTAACACTTATGATTAAGGTTACATGCACTTCCTCCATTACTACAACCTTGTGTTTCTTCCATTGCTTAAGTCATCCACCTAATGTCTAACCCTAAGGTTTACTTACTAGGTTTTCCAAGCCTAACCCACTACTTTTATATGTGTTCATGTTAGTGGTTGTTTTTCCTATTGACATTGAAGGTTGAGAAGCTTAAGGAAATTTAGAAGACAATACCTTGATGTATGAAATATTATTTACTTAAGTTGTTTCTTGTTTATCATGTTACATCCACTCGTATGACTTGATATTTAAATACTTTCAAATGTTAAAGAGTTTATTTTTTAGGACCTTTATCCGCACTTGCAAATAAAATTTGGAAAAAACATTAAAAACTTGATTTGAAATTGATTAATTAAATTAACCTATGTTTCACATTATGAAGCACAAGAAATTTAAGACGACTTTCCATTAAGTTCATGGCATTCTCTATCAATATAATTAGCACGTTCATGCCATTCTTTAAGATTGGCGTATAAGACCGTGGAGGTTACAAATTTGAAAAAAAAAATGAATAAACAAGTGAACAGTTATGTTTTATGATTGTCAAGTTGTTCGAGAAATCACAAGTTACGTGGTTATTTTGTGCTAATAATTGAAATGATAGTTATTAAACTTATTAGAGTTTTATGGATTGACACATCATCATTTTATTTAGGGAGGTGATAATTCCACATTACTTTTTGATTCATCCATTTATTTTGAAAGTCGATGGAAAAATATGCCCCTCAGAGTAATCCTTTGTAATAATTGGTAACCCATTTATCTTCCCAGTTTCCTCGACACCCACCCTGGAGACCTTTAACCCATACCGTCGCCGGAAACCGCTCCCTCTTCGGTACTTGCAAAATCCATGGGTAGGTAGCAAAATCACCTGTAAAAGCATTTAACAAACCACCAGCAAAATCGACGATGTCGTCTTCAAGAAAACAACCTGCAAGTACCAAAATTAAAACTAGCCTTCAAAATCTGATTTGTTGGTCGATGGGGTTTTAAGATTTCAAGATTCGATGCAGAAGAGTTCAATATTTGATTAGTTCAGGAATTCTTTAAGCTTTCATCACCGGTGATGAGTAAGGATACCAATCTAGTGCTTTCTATCGGCTGGTGTAGGAGGGTTTCTTGAAAACGACAGAGGGGCAGTGGCGGGAGGGCCTTTTGGAGCGAGCTTAGTCCCAGAATGTAATCGTTCGGAGATGGGTGTTTCTCCGGAAGTTCCGGCGATGCTTGTGGCTTTTATCGAGAGAAGATGAGAGGGTTTCTTGAGGAGATGGAACTGTGTGTACACACCACACCGATGTTATAAATGAAAGAGATAAAAAGAATATAACAACCTACACCAGTGTCTTCATAACCCATTGTTTGTGCTTGCAGACGCATCTCCTTGGATCTATTCGACATCTTTGTTCCGGGTATTTAGGTCTTTAGTCCCTCATCGAATACTATGTTAAATCCAATGGTCTCGTCGATTCAACTAAGCTTACTAAGTACTTGTCTAAAACATTTGATTCCTAACAATGGTTCATTTCAGGTGACACGCTTAGAGGAACAAAAGGAAGGAAGAAAAAAAGGGCTCTGTTGGAGATTGTGGTGAACGGGACGACCGGAACTTCAGCAGACGAGGGAGGAAGAAGGATTTACAAGCTGAAGATTACCGGCAAATAGAATTGAATATCACTTGTCGTTTGTAGGCTTAGATTGCAGGTTGGAGAAGAATTGCAATCGCATGTGCGTTGTTTTTGGTTTAGAAGAGAATGATGCCTTTGAATAATTTAATTTATAATATAAATGAATGAAGGGCATAATTGTAAACTTATTTTAAAAATCAGTGGATGCATCAAAAGAATCCGTGGAAATATCACTACCCTTTTATTTACTATACAACTCTATACTAATTTTCCTACAATGCATTGAATTCAATAGAGTTCAATGGAATATATATTTAATAGTTAAAATGTTTCATTTTTTCCATTAAACTTCATATCCATTGAATGCCAACATGGCATCCTACAATTGTAGAGTTTAATCCATTGAATGTCAATTAGACATGTCACCTTATTCAACTCTTTCATTGAACTATGCATTATGGATGCTCTTATCTTGATATATTTGACTTTTATATAAAGTGATTTCATATATGGTCATCTTAGTAAATGTCCCTAACATTGATATATTTACACAATAAAATATTTTCAAATGATTTTTACGGTATAAAATAAGTTTTAGGGGGCGTTTCTTTTTTACTTAATAAATTTAATGTTTAAAAGACTCAATAAGTTCAACTATATAAGAACTTTTCTTTTTTACTTAATGTTAACAAATTATCTTAGTGGATTAAGTTGGAAAATAGATGTTCTTAACATTAAGTGGTGATCTTATATTTTGTTTTTCCAAAATGACCCTCCACACCCACCACTCACGATTTCCTCCAAATTAAAAGGGTATGCTCATGATTTTAGAATTTTTTTTATTACTCATAAGTTAGTCTAATTTTATAGGCTAGGTTTATGATTTTTTGTAACAATATAAAAAACATATCTTAAAAGAATACATTTAATAAAAAGAGGATAAAAAACAACATGATTCATGTGTTTTTTAATAATTGGCATGTAACTTTCAATTCTATAAGCATATTAATTAATTGCAATGAGGAACATTTTTTAAATATATGTTTAATTTTCTTCATAAACTATTAATTTAGTATAATGAATATGTTAGATTTGTTTTTATTAGAATGTATTAATTAAGTATCACGTTATTTTTAATTTATTTAAAATTTAAAATTTATTTAATGTGATGGTATACACTTTTAATTTATAATGGTTCTTAAATAAATTATCATTTTTTTATTTTATAACAAGTAGTAGGTGTGAGACCCGTGTACTACACGGGTTGATTAAAAAAATAATTATACATAAAAATATGAATATTAAGTATTTTTTTTAAGAAAACGTTAAATATCAATGTGTAAAAATTAAATATTTTTTAAAATGAAATTTCAAAATATATACAAACAAAATGATGAATAAATAAATAAATCAATTTATACTAATAAAAGAAACTACATAAAAATAATTATATTTTGGCCACATAACCATTTTTTTAGTTTATCAATGAAAAACAATAAAATTTGATTATTTTTTATATGTAGACCATTTGACTAAAATGACAATGAAATTTGAAAGAAAAATATCAATTTTGAATTATATATTGAAGGAAACATATCAAAATTTAATTTAAAAATATAAGGAAACAAATTAATAACATATTAATTACTTTCTATAACCTAAAAATTAGAATAGTTAATTAAAAAATCAAAAATTACCACAAAATGCCAAGTGGAAATTAATTTGTAAGAATTAATAACAAAATTATATGTGTCAAAACTCATTAGAGATTGACATGTGGCAAAAAAAAACCTTCATTTATTAAGGAGGATTAAAGAAATGGTAATTTATTATTTTAAACAAGAGGGTAAAATAATCATTATTCAAATTCAGTAATTGCATGTAGTCTAAAAAATAAACAACGTTTATATCAACAACACTTTATTAGTTCAGATATCATTAACAATTCAGTCCATTTTATAAATTCATAACTTATCAAAAGAAAAAAAAAGAAACAGTGCTAACAAACCTCCCTACTTCTTTAAATGGCATTGTTCTACTAAGGTTTCTTGTTAGCATGATATGAACACTTGTACATTTGTTTAAAAGTACACCTTAAATATCTAAAATGTCTTCTATACCCGCCAAATAACAGCATTTTATTAATAACGATCATAATGAAATAAGTAATTTTAACATAAACCCAAAAATAAAGTGTTACACTTTCACGATACAAAATATCAATATACCATTACTCGGTGTTTCAAATAAAAAACCCTTGTCTCGGATAAAATTCCCTAAAATACCCTTCAACAACATTACAAAAAATACCCCTCAAGACTCAACTTCTTCCGATTTCGACTCACCAAGTGTAAACCTCACAAACCTCCTAACCTTAATATTCTCACCAAGTGCCGCAACCGTTTGCTTCACCACATCCTTCACAAGGACACTATCGTCTTTTAAAAACGGTTGTTCAAGTAGCGCAAGCTCTCCAAGCCTCTTTGCTACTCTCCCTTCCACAATCTTTCCCCTTATACCCTCCGGTTTAGACAAAATATCCTCTCTTTGCATCTCAATCTCTTTCTCTTTTCCCACAATACCCTCGGGTATATCTTCAATAGACACATACTCCACTTTAGGACACGCGACAACTTGCATTGCTAAATCATCGACTAATTCTTTGAATTTTTCACTTCTTCCCAACAAAATCAGTTTCACAGTTGACTTCAATTAGGACTCCGATTCGGGAATCGTGAATGTAGGACCCGATTCTTCCTTCGGCTGCTAGACGGCTTGATTTTTTATCGGCTGTTGAAAGGCCTTTTTTTCGGAGGTATTCTTGTGCTTTGACCAAATCGCCCTCCGTTTCTGATAGTGCTTTTTTGCAATCCATCATTCCTGCACCCGTTTCTTCGCGTAGTTGCTTCACTAATGATGCTGAAATTGTTACTTTTGGTGCCCTAAATGAAATGCAAAAAGAAAAACACGAAATCAGCTTTTTTTTTAAGTCTTTGACTTTTTACATGTTAGTCCTTGTATATTTTTAGGCTATTATAATAAACACGCCCTTACTCTTTAGCAGTCTCAACAACCGTCTCCGTTACCGCAGCAGGCTGCTCCACCACCGTGGGGCCCGCCGCCTTCTTGGCGGTAGTTTGGGCAGCAACTTCTGCAGCAAAATCATTCGATCTTTTCTCCAAACCTTCACCAAGGTTAAACCTTACAAACCTCTTAACTCTTATATTTTCACCAATTGTAGCAATGGTTGACTTTACATAATCTTTGACCACAACTTTATCATCTTTAATATACGCTTGTTCAAGCAACGCAAGCTCCTCAACTCTCTTCTTAATCCTCCCTTCGACAATTTTCCCCCTAAATTGCTCCGGTTTCGCCAACAAATCCTCCTTTTGCATTTCAATTGCTTTCTCTTTTTCAATCAAATCTTCAGGAACGTCTTCAGGGACGAGATATTGTACCTGTGGACACGCAGCCACTTGCATTGCTAAATCGTTGACTAATTCTTTGAAAATGTCACCACGTGAGACGAAATCGGTTTCACAGTTGACTTCTATAAGGACGCCGATTCGGGAATCGTGGATGTAGGATCCGATTCGACCCTCGGCGGTGGCTCGGTTTGATTTTTTGTCGGCGGTTGAAAGGCCTTTTTTGCGGAGGTATTCTTGGGCTTTGACTAAATCGCCATCCGTTTCTGAAAGGGCTTTTTTGCAATCCATCATTCCTGCACCAGTTTCGTCTCGGAGTTTCTTCACGAGAGCTGGTGATATTGTTGCTGTTGTATTTAAAAAAATAAATTATATTAAACTTTTATCACAAAACAACCACTAATTTCACGAAATTGCATTTTAAGTCGAATTTAGCGATAAGTTATAATAAACCTTTAGCGGTGGCTTCCGATGGTGGAGGTGTGCTGCTTTCGACATCTTGTTGAGGGGCATTTACGTCATTTTTGTCCTCAACTGGCGTGACAGATTGAACCTCTGTGTCTATTTGTTCAACTGAATCCTCAGGTGTTTCTACTTGTACTTGGCTTGTAATGCTACCATTTTCTTCAGAAACAGGTTCGATTTTTACATCTGTTCATAAGAAGTAATTTCATTTGTTGTTCTTTTGTCTTAATGCAGAAAGAATGACTTAATGGAAAAAAGAGGCTTTCCCCATTTTTGAGTCCTAACTTTGTACAAATTTGGCATCATTTAGTTTTTAAAATGGTAAGAGAAAGTGAAACATTGTTGCATGAAATACGAATGTAACCCATATTCCCAATAGAATAAAAAAACTAGATTTTAGAAAATGAGTCAAAGTGCAAGAGTTCAAACCTTCAGTTACAGGTGCATCAACTTGTTCAATTGAGCTTGTGATACTACTTGTCTCCTCTGGTATCTCTACTACTTGTTCATCTGATTCATAATCATAAGAAATAATTTCACATGTTTTTTTTTTTACTTAATTGACTTAATGGAGAAAAGACTTAATCTGGTAAGCTACATATGAGTGTTTGTTTTTGAATTAATGCAGGAAGAACAACTGAAGAGATAAAGTCAGGAAAAAAATAGGCTTTCCCCACTAAGTCCTAACTTTTTACAAATTTGCCCTCATTTACTTTTTAAATTGGTTAAAAAGTGAAACATTGTTGCATAAAATAGTGAAGAGTGAAATATTGTAATATGAATAAGCATTTAGTTGGTGCCATGTCATGAGTTAACTGGTTTCAGTTACAATATTGCTTGAATTTGTACTAAAATAAAAATAAATAAATAAAACATTTGCATATTTCATCTATATAAAATTGTTGCATGAATTGGTAAAAATGTGAAACGTTGGTTGCATGAATAAGGAAAATAAATAACGATTAAAGAACAAAGTCAAATAAAACATGTTCAAGTGTTCAACTACTTCAAAAGTCTTGATCAACATGCTAAGTTAAATAAGTTCAAAAAAAACTAAAAACTCATTTTCAAAAAAAACTAAAGTGCTCGTTGTCTCTAGCCTATTCCTTTTCTTTGAATGTACCTACAAAGTTAAAATCAATGAAAGATTTTAGTAAAAATAAAATATGTATTTTATAAAAACATAGATCAACCGATTTTTATGCCCGATTTCATTTTCACAAGTTAGTTAACCTCCAACTACCACCTAGGCTGATTTTCACAACACTAATCCCCAATAGATTAAAAGTAACTATATTTTAGAACATACATCAATCAAGAGTATAAATAGCATAAAGAACTAGAGTTCTAACCTTCTGTTACAGGGGTATCAACTTGTTCAATTGAGCTTGTGATACTACTTGTCTCCTCTGTCATCTCTACTACTTGCTCATCTGATTCATAATAAGTAATTTCAGGTGATGTATCTTTTCTTATACTTAACTTATGTGTGTTTCTTTTTCACTTTAAGCAGACTTAATACCTCATTTACTCTCTAAGTTGGTTAAAAGTGACACACTGTAGCATAAATTGGTAAAAAGATGAGACATTATCATATAAAGTTTTTAAGAACCCTTTATCTGATGCCATGTCATGAGATAACTGGTTCTTGGTTACACTGTTGCATATTTTGGTTCTAATATTAAACCATATGGTTGTATATTTCATCTAGAGAAACACATTGTTGCATAAATTAGGAAAAAGGTGTATCTTTTTTTGTAAAAATACGCATCAATCAAGGGTATAAATAGCCAAAGAAAAAGAGTTCAAACCTTCAGTTACAGGGGCATCAACTTGTTCAACTGAGCTTGTGATACTACTTGCCTCCTCTGGTATCTCTACTTGTTCAGCTGATTCATAAGTAATTTCAGGTGCTGTTTTTTTTTTTAAACTTAATGCATTTAATAAAAAAAAAAAAAAAAAGACTTAATCGATTCATCTATGTAAAAAGGTTTCTTTTTGACTTTAAGCGGAAAGAACGACTTAATACAGAAAATCAGAAAAAAAGAGGCATCAAGTCCTAACTTTTTACAAGTTCGCCCTCATTTACTTTTTTAATTTGTTAAAAACTGAAACATTGTTGCATAAATTGGTAAAAAGTGAAATACAGTTCCATAAAATTGTAAAAAGGTGAAAATCTTGTTTGCATTAATTGGTGAAAAAGTAAAACATTGTTACACAAATAAGCATTGGAATGTATTTCAATCAAGAGGTCAAAGTCAAACCTTCAGCTACAGGGGCATCTACTTGTTCAATTGAGCTTGTGGCATTACTTATCTCCTCTGGAATCTCTACTTTCTCATCTGATTCATAAGAAGAAAAGAAATTTCAGGTTTTGTTTCCTTCTGAATTAATACATAATAATTAAAAAAAAAAGTAAGATTTCAAACCTTCAATTACAGCATCAACTTCTTCAATCGAGCTAGTGATGCCACCTGTCTCCTCTGGTATCTCTACTTTCTCTTCACCTAATGCTTTTCATTAAAACCAATATCAAAAACCAAACTAAAGCAACTACATTTTAAAAACACAATCAACCATATGATTATAAGTAGTCAAAGATATCAAGAATTCAAACCTTCAATCACATTCACATTCTCCTCAATTACTGGAACATCAACTTGCTCTTCACTTGTAACAGTCTCTTCAACAGATTCTTTTTCAACTTTTTCATCTTCAACTACTAAAGAAGAAGAGCTTTCAATCTCAACTTTCTCTCTCTCATCCAAAAAAGAAGCAATATCTTGATTCTTACGAAAAGCAACAAGAAACGGATTTGTAGCAGTGAAAACCTTCCCTTGAAGCTTTGAATCCAATTCTTTATTATCTTCATCTCTCTTCATAGTTAAAGTCACCTGTCCTCTTGCAATCCTCAAAACCCTAACTTTGACTTCTTGACCAATTTCCAATGAAGACCCACCACCCATTATACTCCCAAACCCTTCATCAGCCTCCTCAGAAGCTGGCAAAAACCCTTCTTCACCTTCCGGAAGGTTTATAAAAGCACCTGATCTTGTCAAATTCTTCACTGTTCCTTCAAGATCTTGACCCTTCGAAAACTTTGTTGACTTTCTTCCTTCGTTACTTCTCTGGTTTGACTTTTGACTTTGATTTTGACTTCTTTTAGGTCGAGACGATTCACCACCACTCACAGGCTCGTTTTCACGCATTGTTAAAGCGATTCGACCTGTTTCAATGTTTGCTTCCACCAATTTCACCTTCACTTCTTGACCTACTGACACCACGTTTGCAACATCTTTCACATACCCATCACTTAACCTTGACACGTGTACAAGTCCATCTGTGAATGCACCGAAGTCGATAAAAGCTCCAAATGGTTGAATCGATCTTACTTTACCCGTGAAACTTGCACCCGGAATTAATTCTTCATCTTTCACGGGTGGCATCTCGCTCTTTCTAGCGGGTCGTGATCGTTGTTTTGACTTGTCAATGGGTGTTGGTGTTTCCGGGGTTTGGATGGAATCGGAATTGGAAACAGGGGAATCGGAATCGGTTTGTTGAACGGCTACATCGACTTCGGTGGCTGATGATGATATTCCGAATCTTGGTTTATGGTGAATGTGTGGGAATAATTTAAGTGATGTTGAGAGAGGTAATACACAATCTTGAGTCGATAGGGTTCTTCGGGTGGATCTTTTTAGATTATAGCATCTTATTGAACTGTTGGTGTTTCTTGTATTGAAAGTGCACCCTGGGATAAGTGAGATGCTGCTTGAAGGGATAACAGGCGCCATGTTGTTACTCCAATGGTGAATTGGGTTTGATTTGGTTTGGTTCTATAAGTAACTATACTAATTGTTCATCAGCTTCTTCACCTGTGGAGGAAATACAGCGAATAAACTATCAATTAAGACGCAATTGGGGATTGTAAACTACAGGTCGTTAATGTAATGGTGGATTATGTTACACAGTGTATACTAGTGGATTTCATTTATCAATGGTGGTGAAGAACTACATTTAAGATTAGAGAATTAGTTTCTCGGATAACCAGGCGTTCAATTACATCACAATTTCGAACATTAGAAATCTAATTAGCGAAAATAATAACCAATTATGGTGCGTTTTTTTGAATAACATAACATCATGAATTGGGGATTATAAACCCAACACAAAATTGACTTCAGTTCTGCATCGAAAGACTATAAAGAATCAAAACAAGGATAAAATTTCGCAAATTGAGACTAGCCCAGTATTCATAAACGTCAACAAATTAAAGATACCCTAGCGGAAAAAAAAAAGTTACCCTAAAGAGAAGAGCTGAGCTCCTGTAATGGAGGTTTTAGGTTTGTGATTGAGCTATTGCTATTGCTATGGGTGTCTATCTCTCCGACCTGAATGAAAAGAGGGAAATGAAAGGTGGGTCTTTAAACCCTTATCTCATCATCTTCTATACTTTTATCTTTTATTTTGATTTTCTGGATTTTGACGCGGTTAGTGGTGACGGGGTGTGAAATCTGCGGTTAATTTCTTGACCGATAAATTTCAGATATCTAAGGCCCGTTTTGTCGTAAGAAAGTATCTAATAGCATCTCATTGTAACCTTACGAATTTTTTTTGTTTGTTTTAAAAGATTATTTAATTTTTTTTGCACTTTAAGAGAATTATGCGAGTTTAGAAGATCAATTTTAAGAAAATAAAGGGGTAAACCAGTGAATTTTTGTGTAGTCACGAAAATCCTCTTCCAAATAAGCAAATTGGTGCCACGTCGAAAAATTAGATTGTCATGTGTTATCTGTGCTATCTGAGTGATTATAATCTATTTAACAAAGACAACTTCTTCTTTTTTCGTTCCATTCAAACAAAAACCCTTGCCTTTCAAAACCTCTTTCCTAACGATGACAAAATATATCAAGATCGATCTTCATTTTCAAAAAGTCTTTATCAACAAACCATTTTGCTATTCTTACATCACGTGTTCAACAATGTCGATTTTGCAGGTATGGATTTTAAAGAATGTGTGGGTTTTCTTGAAAGATTTACACAAGAGAAGTGTGTGAAGTTGTACCATTGTATGTCAGATCTTGAATTCCCTAAAGGTTTAAGATTGATTTCTAATGAGCTTCAATATGTTGAGTTCATTGACATTGCTTATCGATATGGATACCAAACTGTCGATGTATGTGGACCATTTTGGTACTAATCTCCATGTATTGTCTAATGAATTTGCTTGTTATGAGGATAACCATTCATGGGTATCAAATATGTCAAGGGAAATGGAGGATGTTATTGACCTAACTGACTTTACCACTCTATTGAGTAACAACATAGAATGAGTAACACATAAAGGGGTAGGAGTGTGACATCCCCATTTTTCACGGCCAGAAAATACCGATTTTGTTTATGCTTTATAAAAATCAGAGTACTTCTTTTGATAAAAATGTTGCGGAATTTGTTCCCAGTAAAACATGATAAATACGTTATCAAAGCATTTCCGAAGAAATGTATTTTTATTCATTTTAAAACATTTGGGATGTCATTGTCAATATAGAAACATAAACATAAACAGAACTTACATTCATTTACACTAGTGATCTACATCTCTTTAATCTCTCAATGTAATGTAACTTCATATCGACACCTGTGATACAAATAAGCTTGAGTGGGTCAGGTTGGGAAACCTGGTGAGTACATAGGGTTTTCAACCCACAATAATATAATTATTATGTCTAAACATCAAACAATCAACCCAATTACCCATCTCCGTTATCTTCTTTACTCTTAAGGATCTACCCTAAGAATCATCTATCCTGCATCCGTTCATTTCGAAGTCCATTACTTCCAGGGTTTGTATAACAGGCACTAAGTCCATAGCTGCCAATGCTCGTTCGTAAAAGCACTAATTCCATAGCTGCTAAAGTTCATTCATCGGGTACTAAATCCATAGCTACCAGTGTTTATCTAATAGGTACTAAGTCCATAGCTACCAGCGTTTATCTAATAGGTACTAAGTCCATAGCTACCAACGTTTTATCTATCAGGTACTAAGTCCATAGCTATCAGTGTTTATCTAATAGGCACTAAGTCCATAGCTGTCGATGTTAATTATTAGGCACTAAGTCTATAGCTGCCAATGTTCACTCATATCATCTTTCATCTCTCATCATTCATCTACCCATGTTTTACCCAACATATTCGTAGATATAAAATACATATACAGTTTAAATCATTTAAAACATGTATAAAATCGTTCATCCGGCATAGATAACAAGTATACTGACAATATGCACACATAGCACGTAATTTATATAAAATACTTCATATCTATGTGTAAGATGAAAGTAACTATGCACTCACTTATTAAGGTGGTGATTCCGAACTCAGACAGCGCTTCGCTTCTATTAATTTATTTTCTTTCGACGAAACCTAGTATCATTACAACTAGATTTTAGTCTAATATTCATTGCGACTAATTATTAGTCTAGATTCATCATTAACTCAAAGTCTACTTTCATGATCTATCAAGTAAAGAACAACCAGGTAGGATCATATTGGAGGTAGGGTCCGTTTGGTATACGAAGTATACTGTTTGGAAATCCCACTTTAAACACCTCACTAAATCACAGCCTAGACATCATTCCTGTAAGTAGATCAATCAGTATAACGACTTTGAATCACTGATAAATCTTATTTAGAGGTTCATAATAACGATATTATATTTATATATAAGCTATATTTAAAGTATGGTAGGCGTATCTCACTTACAACGGATTTTTATTAAAAACCGGGCTTCGCTGGAGCAGCTTTTCCGAGCCGAAAAGCTCTTCTTCTCGGAGCCGTCGAGTGCTCTGGGGCTTTCTTCTAGCACTAGGGAAGTTTCCTAGGCTTTAGGGGGCTTTAGGGAGTCTAGAGAGAAGTTAGAGAGAGAAAGAAAGGCTTATGGTGTGAAGAAAATATGAAGAGTTCATCTCTTATTTATAGGGGTTTTCTCGTAGAGTATGCCCTAAGTTTCGTCCGTATCTTCCGCGTACAAGCTCCGTTTTATACGTTCTTTATATCCACGCGTTGGTATTTACGAGTACTAAAACTTTCATTTAGACCTCGTCGGCTAATTCTCATTCTATCTCCGATTTGTAAAACTGTATCGAATTTATCGCGCTCGAAGAGTAGGGACTAAGTTTCATCCATATCTTTCGCATACGAGCTCTATTATCGACGTTCTCTATATCCACGCATTGGTATTTACGAGTACTACAACTTTCATTTAGATCCTGTCAGCTAATTCTCACTTTATCTCAGATTTACAAAACTGTATCGAATTCGCCGCGCTCGAAGAGTAGGGACTAAGCTTCGTCCATATCTTTCGCATACAAGCTCCGTTTTCGACTGTCTTTTTATTGTTTAACTCCTATTAACGATATCTTCATTTCTCGTTAAGATTATTTTGGCTAAAAATCGACCGATCTAAAATTCGAATTCCGAGTTGTGCACTGCTATGCTAAATCTTAGAAAAATCATAACTTCCTCATACGAAGTCAGATTTGGACGTTCTTTTTATGCACACTCTCGGTTTAACGTATACTACGACTTTTTTTTTAGATCACTAAGGCCAAAAAGTCTTCTATCGTAAGTTCACTATTTACGTCTCCCGGTGCCGTGCCGGTTTGCCGCGAAACTTCAACGGGCCATAACTTCTTCGTTATAACTCGGATTTTGGCGTTCTTTATATGTACAGAACCCTTGTAACATATGCTACAACTTGATTAATATTACTCCTTCTAAATAATCTTCCATCAAAAACTCATTTTTTTGATGCTCTTTGTCTCTAAATTGACTAGCCCGGATCTGCGGGCGTTACAATTATCTCCCCCTTATGATGATTACGTCCCGGAATCATCAACAAAACAGGGTTTGTTTAATGACTCCATACGTTATCTCTTCATCCTAGGTAATAATCATAACTTATATGTTCCTTCGAATGAGTATATAACTCTTGGACTTCTTAACTGTTGGCGGTGCTCGATCTTGCACCCGCTCCTCATACTGTGTTGGACTTTCAATTGTAACCTTCGAGTTACAATCTTGATCCTTATTGGAAACTTCTGATCCTTCATAAACAAACTCTACTTTGATTATCGTAATAGACCAATGGGTCATGTTCTAATGACCTCTCATCGTATGATGCAATGTTTAGACTCAGGTCTTTTAGAGTCAAATTCAAGGATGGAATATCCGAATATAGCTTCCTTCATGTTCTAATGTGATATAATCATATTCTAGCATGAAGCACTTCTAGCTAAAAGCTTCTTACTTTAACAACGATCGCGAAACTTCTATCGATTGCTTCGATTATCTTTCACTTCAATCTGCTGGCTTAGGTCAGATGCTAAATCGAACTTGGTTCTTCGAACCACGTAACATACTCATCTTAGTCGGACTCAATTTGATTTGACAACTAGGGTCGGAATAATAATCATCTTCTTAGTCGTTACTGAAACGATGGTAACGATAGAAATGAACAAAACAAAATCAATTACTAGCTTCTTGGTAACCTTGTGACTTTCCCTGATCCAAGCGTGAGTCATGTGCTTCCGGTAGTATAGGCCTCTACTACATTTCACACCTACTCATACTCGTCCCAAGTATTGTCTCGCAGTTCTCCAAGTTCTTATGACAAAAACAATTTTAACACATACAAATGTGTCCAAACAATCATATAATTTTCCATAGACTCTACTAGGACTTCTTCCATGCGTATCTTCAATCATCAATTCTGCTTCAACTCGGTTGGTGATGG